TGTATGTATGTATGTATGTATGTATGTATGTATGTATCAGGGGTGGGTTGCTAACCCCGTTCCAACCGATTCGGTTGGAACGGGGCTGGCAGCGTCCTCGTGCACGCGCGCAGTTCACGCATGTGTCTTAGCACCTGTGCGATGCTCCAGCTGCTCGCGGAGACTTGTGCAGGCGCTGTATGTGCCATGCGCCTGCGTGGAAGCGCAGAAGCCTTCAAAGACCGGTAAGGAGCGCGGGCGGGCGGGTGGGCCCTTCGCCGTTCCTGGAAGTTACTTACTTCCGGGTTCACCGACCAACCGGTTCGCCGGGACCGCTGCGAACCGGTTGAAACCCACCCCTGGTTTAAGCCTAAAGAACCACCAAGTTGAAAACCAAAAATAGCCCATCAGATTGTTCCAGAACAATTCAAAGGCATTACAACTCTTCAAGGCATCAGCAGTATTTTCTCAACAGCTGTTAAGCATCCCTGCTTAACTAAATCATCTGAAAATTTCATTTTCTAGCACTATTCTGCAGCAGATGGCAACTTAAATGCATAAAAGAGACAATCCTCTAAGCCTAGGATGACATGGTTAGATAAACCATTTTGAGTAAGGGGACTGGTTTATAATCTGCAAATCTGTTGGTTTATCATGGATAAAATGGAAAGTAATTGTGCCAACAGAAGAAATACCCTGAAATAAAACCCAGAAGAATCCAAGTTCTCTTCAGAGTTTTCCCGCAGAACTTGTATAACACAAATTCATTTGCGTTAGGGAAGAATAAAAATTGTTCCGTGTTTTACCTCGCACATCTGCAATTGGAAGAATCTTCGCTCTTTTTCCATCTCTTCTGCTATTTCGGCCCCGCTAATTTCTGTACGAATCATTCCATGTAACTTAGCGTGTTCTTTTTTCTCTTTTTCTATTTTTGTCCTATATGGAAGAAAAACAATAAAATTATGCTTTACCCTAAACTTTAATTTTTTTAACTGTTATAGTTTCAGAACAGCACAGCCAATTTTAAATGGAAGTACAAAGAATCATCAAGATTAGTGAGATCATGCTGGTATCTACAACAACAAAAGAAAAATGATTCAGGACAGACCAAAATTTGCCAAATTGGGATCGGTCAAAACATTTGAATTGCATAGTTCAGAGATAAGTAGACACTTCGAAGAATGTTTGGTTTCCTACAAATGCATTCATCTGTAACAGAATGAAATTATAATTATAAAAATGATCTTTAAAAGGATGCCACAGAAAAGTAACACACTGAAAGCAAGTTTTGATTACTCAGGAAAATCCTTGCCAATGAAGCTTACTGCTCTCAGGGCATCAACGCTAATGCATGAAGGCAGGGGTGCAGGGGTGGGTTTCAGGCGGTTCGCGGCGGTCCCNGGAAGTAAATATTTGTAAAAGTTTTCTTTTTCAAAATTCTCAATTAAAAAAAAAGGAACACCAGTAGAGACACTGTTGTGGTAGTAATCCAAGTATTCAATCTAACCCCGCGTTCCCCCCCTAGTTACAAGAAATACAGAAGCCTCTTCCAGTATTTGATTACTGTTATCTGTGCACCACTCAAGGAAGCTTTACATCCATTCACTCACAGGTTATGCCTTTGATATATCTTGAAAGAGAAGGACATTCTGCAAACACTTCATACAGCAACGCTATCACCTGAGAAGTGGAGCCTATCATTCACCATATCCTCTACTGCCCTAACTCTGAGACCAGAGGAAAAACATTGATGATAAGAGAAACTTAAAGGATCAGATGCAAAAGGACTGGATTATCTTCTTCCAGATGCAATTCTGTTAGTTAACAGTTGGGTCTTTATTTTTGCTACCACGCTCTTTCAAGCTCAGAAAGAAATCAAAATTACAGCAATGGGTGGTTAATTTCCTTGTTTGCTGTACAGTGGTTTATGTAGGCAGCATTTGTTTTTAATTACTATTATTTTTTCAAGTCATGCTACATTTTTATGACCTGCAATGATAACAAATTCTGGTGTTTGTTCACTCCAACCCTTGAAGCTTAATTGTTTAATTTTAATGAACTTATCTAAAGTTCTCCAGTCAGCAGAATATTCGGGAAAGCAATATGGGTATCATTTTCGCTGTAATTATGATTTGCAAAGCTCAATGTTTTTGGATTCACACACTACATTGAAATAAACACAATACAAATGGTTTTATTTAATAAACTATGGTTGGACAAACCATATTTCCACATTCCCCACCTATAATCTTCTGTAAGTTGTTACAGGCATGATCGTTCATTCAGCAACTGTTCAAAGTTATGACAGCACTAAACGTATGGTACTTACACCAGGTCCACAAAAGGACAGCCACTGCAATGCAATAGCAATAGCAGTTAGACTTGTATACCGCTTCATAGGGCTTTCAGCCCTCTCTAAGCGGTTTACAGAGTCAGCATATTGCCCCCACAGTCT